CTCCCTCCGTCCCATAATTATTATCCAGTTTGAGTTTTCATTTCTAGTTCAAATCATACTAAAAATAAAATCTCAACTGGACAATAATTTTGGAACAGAGAGAGTACTATCTATATTGTATTAGCATCCATTAAGAAAAACATTTAAGTATATATATGAAAATTTGTTGGTTTGACAGTCCGTCAATCTTACTATCTTCATGTAATATCATTCGTATTTGAGGAAAAGAAGTTACATCTAAATGTTAAAATAACCATGTCCATTGAACATAATAATGCAATTCTAGAAGACAACGGCCGTTTTTTTTTTTTTTTTTTTTGCGCCTACTTCCTTATCTTTGCATAATGCACAAAAGGTTCCATAACATTGTGAGCTTTCCTAGTAAACTATCTAATCTGCCAAGTGAGACTTTTAAATCAAGTTCGATTAGTACAACAAACGATCTAACCACAGAAGAGTTTCGTATCACAAAATCGACACAAAAAGGGAAAAAAAAAAAAAAAAAAAAAAAGAAGAAGAATATTAGAATACTACTAAAGAGAAAAATAGGCCAAAATGTATGGGCCACAAATCATCCAACGGTAGCAAACACATAGCAACGGATAAAATAGAAAAGAAAACAATTGGGCGGGTTATTATAGAGCAAACATTGTCCCAAACTCTTTCAAAAAATGGATAAATTGGAAAGCTTTTCACGAACTCTCAAGTGGGATTTTGATTAACTTTTATCTACTTTTCCTTTTATTTGCATAATTTTTTTTGTTATCAACTTTGTTGGTACATTCCTAGCTATATATATGACCTATTACATCAACTATAATGAATGTCTCCAATACACAAGTCCATCATTTTGCTTTTTTCAATATGTATTTTTAGGTACAACTTTATTTTCTTTTCCTTTGAAGTGACTTGAGGGAAAAACGAATCCATAATTTCGCCTTTTTCCATTCACAATATTTTCAGCAAAATTATCAAGTAAAAAATATTATCTCCGTCCTAAAAAAATAGTTCACATTGATTAATATAAATTGAAAATATTAACGTGAACTATTTTTTTGGGACATAAAAAGTAATACAGAAGAGAAAACTGTAACGATGATTTGCAAACATGTTAGGATCCAATGAAGAGTGCTGGTATAATTGGAAGTTGTGGTGTGTGGTTTCTTGTTGGCTTGGCAATCCCTCTCTGCTAAAATGAATGCTACATTTCAATTCAGAAGCAAATATCAATTCCATTACCACATCCATGGAACAATGAAAGAAAGGAAGAAAAAGAGGGTAGAGATAGAGTAGGTGGAGAGTAGCTTTCATAAAGGTGTTATTATTATTTGTCAAAACTTTGGGCAATTTGCTTTTATTTTATTTTATTTTTTTGCTTTGTACAACAAATTAGTGGACCCAACTATATATATCACCAATTTGATGTAATATATAATAAATAAAAATGAAATTTCAATTGATCAAGAAAGAGAAGTCACAACTTCTTCTAAGAATGCTTTGCATAACATTATTAGTGAGATTTCAACAATTTTTCTTCTTTTCCCTACTAAAAAATAATCACTTTGTTAAACTAAAGTAAAATAATAATAGACGTCTTTTAAAAATTTAAATAAAATAGTCAGAATTATCATTTTAAGTTTGAGGAAATAATTGTCTTTCTGTTCCGAAATGATTGTTTAAAATTTATTTTATTTCTAATATAAATTATACTAAAAATAAAACCAGATAATATTTTGAAATTAAGAAAATATGTATTTAATTTATTGTGAAACGATTGAATTTCGCACCACTATAATTTGATAGAGTGAACATTGTATTTGACCCCACATAGTTATTATTATATTAAAAAGTACCCCACCACAATGATTGTTGTGTAAGAGTTTATAATTCAATCTGGATAAATAAATTTTGATTGAATAAGGTAGTGTATAAAAGGTTGAAACATTGAACAGATCAGCATTAGGGTTTTTAAATTAAATTGTTTCATAAATAATAAAGAGTTTGATTGCTTCAGTAGGCTACCTCTTAATCATTGGCATCCTTTATGTTGACAATCATAAAATCGAAATAACATAAAATGTGCACTAAACACTAATCCATATTTCTTTTGTTTGTTACAACTATCTAATCCAAATTTTTAAATACCATACTCCCTGCGATCTTATACTAAATTATAAAATACAAATCAATTAGTTCAAATTTGTGACTAATTAATTAAGATAGAAGGGAATAACAACGTAAGTACTTGTATGATGTACATTCTAAGGATTTTACAATTTATTTTTTCCACATTCTCTTAAGTTCTATTGTAATCTCTCAAGCCAAGGAAGTGCACAACATGCATGCGCTAAAGTGAGATACTACATCTGTCCCGAAAAAAAATAGTTCACATTGAATTTTCATATTTATGTTAATTTCTATATAAATTTTCAAATTCAATGTGAACTATGTTTGAGACAGTGAGAGAATAATCTAAGGAGGTTTTCGTTACAATGAGATTATATATGGTAAGACAACTTCATTTCTCTTTTCCTCTTCCAATAAGATACGGATGAAAATCACGCGGGAGATAAGTGGAGATGTAAGAAGCAATTTTCTCTAAGTTGACATTAAGAATATTGAAATTTGGGTATTTAACTCAAATACATTTAGTAATAAGTGTAGTGGTTCACCATCTTATATCTTAATATTTGATTGGTTAACCTTATGACGTGTGGGACAATAATTTTAGCAAGGACAGAGATTTTGTAAATGAGATTCAAAGTAGGTAGCTAAAAATATTTCTGATTGTATAGTAGAATCAAACACATATACTACATGATTGAGCAACCTTTAAAAATTAGTTTAAGAAAATGTTTCTTTTTTCCAAATCAAAATTTCAAGCTAAAAAGGCAGACAGTGCCTCCAAGCTGGTTTCAACAAGACCAAAAAGGGTACTTAATCATGTTTAGTATGTAATAATTTGGATGTAATGTGGATCAAAATATTCACGGAATATGCCAATTAGCAATTGAAAAAGGGCTTTGCACGATAAAATATTTCCATATTCAATACATCCAATTTGAATGAAGTAATGCGAAATTAGGTATAATTTTTTAAGGGGGGAAAAAGAGGAAGAATTTAAGAACAATAGGTGATTCTAATCCAAGTTACTCACTAAAGCAACTTTAGAAAAAAGAAAGTTGTTTGAAATTAGCAATTTCCCGAGAGATAGCACTTGTCCAAACCAAACTGAAATTTTTGTTTACCTCTTTTAAGTACTCTTTCGTCTCATTTTATTGTATTGTTTTAATTAAATAAAAGAAAATATTAAAATTACAACATGTGTTCCTTCAAATATTTTTATCTTATTTAGACGTTGATTAAATATTGATATCATGTACAACAAGATTACCATTTGCTTATCAATCTCGTACTTAACAAAAACCACTATCTTAATAAATCAATTCTAATCCATCAGTACAATAGGCACTATCTTGCTGGAGGGGAATACATTTGATGTGTTAATTATAATTGTGGTACAGAATAAATCATCAATTATGATGAAGATTAAAAAAAAACAAAAAATAAAAATAAATTCCTCTTCTTCTGTCTTCATTTCTTTTAATTTTTAATTTAGTCTGCTTGAAATGACAAAAAAATTTTTTTTTTGTTAATTCATCTCTGTTAGTTCTTATGGTAAAATTGCGATTGAATATTTTCCTTACTAAATAATAAATGTAAAATTTTAGTTACATTATCACGAACTATGTAATTGCGACAGATGTATTTAATAGTAGTGTTGCGCTCAGAAAATCCATCAAATATAGCACTATAAATATCCATACTTAATTACTTATATAATCCATTTTCAAAATCACAGTATCATTGACTAAATTTTTAATATCTACTTGAGAAATTGTTTCTTTCTACATACCATTTTTCCTGTATATAGTTGGAATTTATTGTACAATACCGTGGCTTATTCTCTTGTTTATTAACAAACAAACATCTCAATAGATTATAAAAAAAAAATAAAGGCCAAACAGCAAACAGTTTAAAACTACTTCATTTCTAAAGCGAAATTCAGACCCCCGAACTGTCTTAATTCAATAATTTTAATAAGATATTCTTTCCGCTTCAAAATTATTGTCCAATTTAAAATTACTAAAAGTAAAAATTCAATTTGAACAATAATTTCGGAGCGCTAGAAATATTTAACAATCGAGAACTTATAGTTTGTACCAAATTTATCATCGACAAAGAGTTTTTATTTCTTTAAATTGTATAGTGGAATATAATTATTGAAAATATAAAAACTCTGACAGTTTTGTCTACCAAACTGTTAATAACTCCATTAAGAATCAAATGAAATTAAGAAAAATGCTGCAACTCAAAAATCAAAGCCAACCGTGTTTAGCAGGAAACAAATGGTCAATTGGAGCAAACCCAAGAAAGTCAATAATATTCTTTGCTTTGGAGCTCTCTTAAGAGTAAGCCACCTTCCCAATGTATATCTACCACGTGTAAATCCTCTCCTTAATCAAACTCTCTTAATTACACATATTGCTCCTTCTATTATAAAATAATTTTTAAATTAATGAAATTTAAAAATTCCAAAATACTCTCCCCACTAATGCAAATATTGTCAAAACTTTTCAAATCAAAAGAAATTAACTTTATCGGGCATCTGCTTATTTTCGTAGAACAAATAATAAAGAATTTAATAATTTACATATCTTAACTAATTATTCTTTTAGTTCGAAATAGTTCTTTAATTTGGATTTTTATGTTTGATATAAATTATATTATAAACTACAAAGTAAAAAAAATAAAAACGAAACAATGTTTTTGGAAAAGAAATACTCTACTTGAATTATGAAACATTATCTAACATTACTTATAGGAGTGTGGTATAAGACCAGAGAATACTCTTTTTACTTTTGCCAATATCGTAAAGGTTTGAAAAGCTTCCTCTCTCCCACTGAACTTATGATGTGATTTGTCTAGTCAAAGTAAAAGGCCCTTACAAAAAGAGAATAATGAAAAGAAAAAAAAAAAAAATATATATATATATATATAGTATATTGGAAAAGTAAAAGTAAAAGGCAGCAACAGCCAAGTTTTTTGCTAACTCCGGTGTAAAAACTCGAGTTTAAAAAGTGCGTTTCACGAGTCCTCAATTCTCAAATCTCCTCACCAAAATAGAATATTGCTAACTTACTCCAAGCCCTAGGTTTTAAGATTTCCAAAAAGGAAAAGGGGAAAAAAATTAAAAGAAAAAGAGATGAAGCAATGAACAAAAATAAAGCATCTAGATCTTAATATAGTAGATCGAACTTCTCCTCCCTTTGCTAGGTGATACTCCCTTCATTCTAAAATAAATGACATCCTACACTTTGCACATAATTTAAAAAATTCTTTAATAGGGTAATAAAATTATTTGAATATCCTCAACCAACCCTATTAAAAAAAGTCCACCAACACTATTAATTCTTTTGAGGATAATTTTGAAAATTTTGGACAAAAAGTGTATTGAAATGTGAGAACGATACTTTTTTTGAAATTTTTTCATTTTGCTAAAACGATACTTATTTTGGTCGCAACAACACAATTTTTCTTTCTAATTTGTCTATTTTAGCTAGCAAACCTTTAAGCAGTTAGAAGAGTCTACCTAGATCGAATGAGAACAATTTAAGTGTGACCTATAAGGTTCATGTATTGATATAATAAGCCATAGAAAAAGATCAATTAGTCTTAACCGAAATTTATTAGATGGTTGAAGGCTTAATCATGCATCTTGTGTTGAAAATCAAAGACATTTATTAAAAAGTTAACAACGGTAATGTCTCGTAAAATAAACTTAATGACCTCATGAAATGCGATTTAATCTTGTATAAGACTACGAGTAATAAGCAAAAAGAAAAAAAAACAATAACACAATATACAATCATATTCAAGAGTTATTGAATGGAATCACCAAAATAATGATTGTAAAGAACTTTCATGATTAATAATCATGAAGCAATTCAGAGAAAGGCCAGAAAGAAAGAAGTTAAAAATGGAAAAAGAAAAGGTAAAATTGGAGAGCACACCTAGGAGAATATTGTCAAATCACGTAGTTCTCGTGTTATCTCCACCACTGTCTCGTCCATAACACACCCTTCAAGACAGCACGAGCCTGCCTTCCCTGTCTGCGTTCATCCTTTTTCAATTCACCATTCTACCCCTCCCAAACCCAAACCCCAAAAACTACTGTTTTTTTTTTATATATAATTTTAATTTTATTTTTTTCTTGACAATATTTCATACTTATCGCATTTCTCAAAATACGAGAAACTTCTCAATAAACTAATCGAATTAAAAAATTTTAAAAATAAAACCTGATGATGTTTCCCAAATAGGAACATTTGGATATGGATCCAACAAGAGGGGAGTAGATTACAATATTTCATGGCTAAACTTTTTGCTATGGAAGCTATAGAAATAAATAATAATCCAGAGTAGAGACAGTAATTTGTAACCAAAAAGAAACTAAAAATACTTTTTTTTTCAAAATTTTTACAATTTTACCCTTTATGCTATTGCTAATTTATTTGCTACCATGCTCCTTACATACCCTTCCATTAAAAAAGAAAGGGAAAAACTTCCCAAGATAGTAAAAAAGAGATAACATCCGCTAATCTGTATAAAGGACCTCAGATTATAGATTTACTAGTAGTGATTTTTGCTATAATTTTCTTCTTTTTTTTTTCCTTGTACTCCAAAATAGTTAGAAAATTATTTTAAATAAGGCAAAAAAAAAAAGGACCAAAATTTTAAGGCTTCTCTTTGAGCAGAGATGCCAATCCGGTAACCATAACCCGGTTGCTCCTTTCACAACTCAGGGGTTTTATCACCGGCGGTTGCCATGTCACGATCACCGGCGTCTTCCCTTTTGCTTCTTCGCCGGGAATCATCACCGGTGGCGATGACTTGGGTGGTTCATCCGACGTCTCCGATTCCTCACCAAATATCAATTCCAATTCTCCACACTCCTCACTCTCTTCAGTAGCTTTTACAACAGCTTCTTCCGCCGCCTCCGCCTCGGCCTCAACCACCTCCTCCGCCGCCGCCTCGTCGATCTTAATCTCATCGGTTTGAATGGGTTTGGGTTGGGGCGGAGGAACGGTGGTTCTGACAGATGGGCTGATCCATTTGGCCTTCATATACTCTGCTTTCCGCCATGGAGCTATATGCATTCCTTTCTTCTTCAGGCTCAATCTCGCCGCCTCCGAAACGATAGCTATAATCTGCTGCAACCGATCAATGCCGCCGACGAAGATGAACGGAAGGGATTGCAAGATGGCTTTGTAATTCCCGGTTGATCGGGCAATCTCGAATTCCGATCGGAAATCTATGTCGATCAACACCCTTTCTCCTTCCACAATTACATCAATGTACTCATATTCCCCTGCATTTGAAAACAGAGTATTATTACATGAATTTCAGATTAACCCGGAAATTGTCCCCAAAGAAACAGCACAGAATCTGGAGCTAAAAAAACCCAAATTGGTAAACCATCCCGGGAAAAAGATTAATTTATTCAAGACATCTGATCAATATCCAAATCTTATCCATAAAAATTCAAACTCCTCTCAATCTAGTTTAGAAAAATATGTGAGAAACAAACATCTATAAATATAAATAAAGAAAGAACGAAAGGTCAGAACCAGAAAGGAATTTTCAGACGGCAACCATAAACAAACCCCATTGAACAATATAACACAGAGAAAGACAAAATTGATTTCTTTTAAGAAAATATATTATAGAAAAAAATGAAGAAACAGAGAAAGAGAGAGAAGGAAGTATTAGTATTTACCAGCTGGGATTGAAGAAGTCTTGTCCCATTTAGATTTGCAGATTGAAGCATTGAAGCCAAGTGCTATTAGTCCATCAGTGACTATTTTCCTTAGATCATCTTTCCTTTTGCAAGTTTTGTTCTTTTCCACGATTTTTGAAGTATCAGCCAATAAGTTCCTCTCCACAGTTGTTGAACAAGGAATTAAGCTCTACAAATCAACGACATACAAATTAATCCCAGAACCTAACGGAAGATAAAAAAGATTTGAAAGAAATTAAGTCAAAACAAACCGTTTCTGATTACCTTGAGACTATCAATGGAATCACCAAAGGACGAATTCGTATTACTGACGGAATCGCCAAATCCAAAATCGAATTCATCATCGGAACTGTCATTGCTGTTCCCATTGAAGCAATTGCATCTATTCCGGCCACATTTCTGAGTGGTTTGCGGCTTCTCAAAAGGGCTTTCCTCCATGAAGTTCTGCACCATTTTGTCCAGACAAACTGAGCTGGGCTCGAATTCCGGTACCACAGCCGCGCCTTTCACTTCGCCGGAAACGGCCGGCGGCTTGTCCGCCGATGATATCTTCAAAACACTGTTAAATGGCCGATCGAAAAGCCGTTTCAGCCTCGATTTTAAGACTGGTGGTGGCTTTGAAGCCTCCCGGTACTCCTGCTCGGAACCGATCGGCTGAATCCTCATCGGAAAAGGCATCCTTTTTCGAGCTATTCAAATTCCCCAAATAAATCCCTCGAAATTTTTTCTCTCGATATATACTCAGAATCAGAGAAAAACCGACTACTTTCTCAACTGAAGCTTACTGTTTTTCCAACCAAACAAAGAAAAAAAACCCAAAACCACTAAGCTAATTAGGATGAAAGTAAGAACCGGAAAAATCCAATCTTTGAAAGGTTAAGAGGTCAATAGATCATCATCAAAAGTCCGTATTTTCCAAAGGCCTCATTCATCTCCATATCTACAGAGACCCCCCCAAAAAAAAAGTAATTAAGAACTAAAGAACAACCCCATCTTTGGCACAGAGGAAAACAAACAAGAAAGGGGAAAGGAGAGAGCTTTTTCTTAATATGTTGGGAATAAAAATGACAAGATCTACGCACGGGTTAGGGCTTTTCACGGAACACATGACGGTGGTGAACTGAAACACGAGCATTCCTTTGGAGAAGAAAAGGATGTTTCGCCGGTATATTCATTTTCCGGCAAGGTCACTGTCACCGGCGGTGAAATAATAGCCAGAGACCTTTGCCTCTTCTTTTTTCTTATTTTTCTTTTAGAATTTTATGAGAACTAAAAATTTTTCCTTTCTCTTTCCTTAAAATTGAAGTTTTTTTTGTTAGTGAGAAGTAAAAAAGAAAATGATGGAATGGATTACGCTGAGAGAGTATGAGAGGCGAGCAGTCGTTTATATAGAGATGGAGCTCCACTGCTGACTAGGACGAAACCTGCTTACGTGGAATCCAGCGTGGCATAAATCATCCTGAAATTTTGGGTGGTGCTCACGTGACAGCAGCTGGGTAGATTTTTGTCTTTAATCAAGCTATAGTTTCGTGACACGTCTAGACAGATGTAGACGTGGGAATAGGCCATTGGCTGAAGGAATTTGAAATTACGGTGCTACCCTCACGGAAAATGTCCGTGACGTTACGGAAACAGTGGGTTGAGTGGGATGGATGGATTTTTTATTTTTATTTTTGGTTTATTTAATTTTTTTATTTTATTTTTAAAAAAACGTCAGAGAAATGGATTAGGTGCGAAGATTTGGCCCGTTTCGGGAGTGATTGGGTGAATGGGGCTCCTTTTTTGGGGTTAGTGGTCAGACCTAATTGGGGGGATAAACAGTTGGTGGGACTGATCGGTTTCATGATTTTCATTTTTTAGCAGCTCTATTGTATTTATTTTAATTTCCTTGAATAACTATAAAAATAATAATTTTTCCAATTATTTTGTAACAATTGTGTTACAATAGCCTTTTCTTTATTTTTAAAAATATCGTGTTACATTAACTAAAAAGTTATCATTATCGCAATCGACAAAATTTTTATTAAATGCATTAAATGAATTCCGTTGATTCGGTTTTCTCTCTATACGTTATGTTATTTTTATTCGTAGTTAACATTTTTAACTGAAATGACACGCGTAAGAGATTTACAATTTATTAGTTATTACATTTGACTCGTTAATGAATATTTATCAACCGTATTAAGATTTCAATAATATGACATTTGTTTTTCATTAAACAATTTTATATTTTTATTGAGCGTGATTTTGTTAGATGATTTTTTTGGGGGGGATTTTACCTCTTTTTTCATTGTGGGGTGGTCTTGACTCTTGACTCTCGGGGAGAGGTTGTACATTCGTTGCTGGTGATGTAATATGCAGTACAAATTATAGTTGAATTACCTCAAACCACACATGGCTTCTTGTACTTCATGTTCATGCTAGATGAATTATCACTTTCTTTTCTTCTTCACCTTTTTTTACCCCTAGGATCAAAATATCTTTATTTGTAAACAACATTGTTGATATTTGTATATGGTACTACCTTGTCACAAACGAATACAAGAAAAGTACTATTTTTAACTCTTTCTTTGTCTTATAAGTAAACTATTACTGTTATTTTATTTTTTATTATTCTCGACATTATCTGTATCGTGTATTCATTATTACAATTCACATCCTTATTACTGAATTTCAAACTAATTAGGGACGGTTTTATTAATATACTTATTGGGGGTGGGGGAGAAGCAGAAAGTAATGGGATAATTAAAAAATAAGATTGAACAATTAAAAAAATAATTATTTTAAAACAGATAAAGTATTTGATATCTACACTCAACACCATCTTCATGGCTTTGGATAACACAAGAGAGACATTAGTCTTGTTGTATACATATTGATTATGAGGGTACATGCATTGGATGAAGGATAGTGGTCCAACTTCATGAATAGTTTTTTCATTGAATTTATTATCATGAGCTAATTGAATGAATCTTTCTTGTGTGCTTGAATAACAAATGAATGATGAATATCATAATCCGAACAGCTATTACTTGTTAATGCAAACCAATAAGAAATGAATATGATACAGGCTTGATGTAATACATACAGCTATTACAAAAATATGTACCAACATCAAGTCATGCTATTGATGTAAACATATTGATTTGCAACCAGATGTCAAAAAAAAAAAAAATAAATAAAATCATGCTATTTTGTTTTTATCCACCTTTGACTGCCGGTTGGCCATTTCATTCTATTTTTATTTATTTTAAAATGAAAGAATTTTTTTATCAATAAAAGAAAAAAGAAAGAAGAAGTTATGTCTACTTTGAGCCAAAATAGTGCAATATCATGAATTCATTTTCCCCTTCTTTCTTGAAATAATTTAGAATATATTGACAAGTGTTACTGTAACGCTCCAACTGATCGGTCTGTTCCAGTAACTTTTTGAGTGATCGTTCTCGCTAGACCCAAAATGGTTAACCTAAATTATTAATAAATCAGTCAGCTCAAGCTTATAAAGTGGTTACTCCCTCCACAGGCACCGATGTGGGATGGAATGTCATGTTAGCTTAACATGCTAATTCCTCACGGGTCATCACAGTTACACTGTTCAAAATTTTTAAATATAACTCTCTTGGTTTCATGTTTAAAAATCAATCATTATAATTAGAAAAAAATTAAATTAATAAACTATTAATTTATTGATAAAATAATAATTATTAATTTTTTTTAAAATAATAATGTCTATAAATTTGTAAAATTTTATGAGCCAACAGTTTTAATTTATATGATTTTTTATTGTAGTATCAATTTGTAAAAATATGTTTAAAAAATAAGTGAGAACTAAACTTGAAGCTTTTAGGGGTCTTTTAAAAATCTATAAAGTAAATCCCTAATATTGGTACATTTCCATTTGCAATAACAAAAAAAAATATAAGATGAAATAAGAAATAAGATTTAGCAGAAAAAGAACACGAAATTTGTTAAATTAGAATAATTTATATATTATATATAATGTCTATATAATTATATATAGACATTATATATATATATATATAAAAGATGAAGTAAAACGTTTCTTTTATTTGTAGCAGGTTATAATACGAGACGTTATACCGTTAGAGTACGTCGGACGATCGATATAGAAAATAACACAGAAATTAAGTGCGCTTTAAAGATTCCAACAACAATCAACTCATGATAGCCGTTAGATGTAACATTCAAAAATTCAAGCAGAGAAATGATGCAAAGTGAGGAAACATCAAAATTCTTGACATCCCAAACCTTTTTCTTTTTCTTTTTTGTAAATTTTTTTTTCCCTTCATTATCATCAACTCATGGGAAATGGTATGGTCCACGAACATGCCATTTGTTTTTTCTTTCTTTCTTGACAGTAAGAAAAAAAAAAAAATTGTTCCTATACTTGATGCTACTTTCCAAAATCCCCAAAAAACCAAAACCAAAACCAACGAAACCATACATCATAAGCAAAGCAAAGGACAATAACCACTCTCTCTAAATAATGTTAGACAATGGACACAAAGTGTGGGACTAAGAAAGCTAATAATGTCTATTGCTCCTTCTTGACAAGTGTACCCATAGATGGACCATATATGAGTTTTGGAGCTTTCTAACCTTTTTATTTTTCTCTTTGCTTTTCTATGTGCTTCACCCACAACACCCCCTCCCTCAAAAAAAGTAAAATGAAAATTACTTCCCCTCATATACATAAAGTTCAAAAACATGATGTCTCTTTATATTTGTTGCTTTTATGACATTCTATTTAGAGAATATAATTTCATTGAGATCGGTGAGTTACACAATTAATACTAGTGTGTTATGTGTTCATTTAGATTTAATGAATCGAATTTTAACACTCGTATTGACAGAGGAAGAAAGAAAATTATGAATACAAAGTTGACTGTCTATATGTACAAATTTTTATGTGAACAAATCAGAAGTACTCTTATGTTGGAAATGAAATTAACCTTTAACTACACGAATTCTTTATTTGAGTTTACGTGACGGTAATTAACAAATTGTTCTATGAAGGATGGACAATAGAAAAGGCAAAACGTATCAATCAATTACAACTAGGTGAACTAACACAACAATATATGTGAAGTAAAGTTTTAAATAATTTGATTTACTCATTGGTGAAAATGGAATAGTTCTTACTACTATTACTTCTAATTGACCTTTTTTCAAGCGGCTTTGTTCGTCGCATAAAATTATTTAATAAATGGCCAATTTGCTAGCGATTCAATTTCGCCACAAATGAATTGTTAGGCATTTATTAAAAAAGCTTTGATAGAGATTGGGGAGGTGTTAATTACCAAGTTTAAGAAACGGTCCAACTTGGTGATGACAGGTGGTGAAGCATAGTGGGGGAGTTAAATAACGACAAGAATTTAGTCAATTTTCACACAACAAGGCATTAAATAAAAGCAAATCATTAGGAGTTGGTTTAGGATCAAATTTGTGGTAACAATAAGTTAAGATTACATACTCCAAAAGTAGTTAATTAGTAGTAATAATTTATCTTCACTATTTTTTGGTCCTCTTTTCTGTCCTTTTAAACAAATTGAAATACTATTTAATTACTCCCTCTATACCAAAATAAGTGTCATTATAGAGTTTGCACACATTTTAAGAAACACTTAAATATGATAGCTAAATTACTAGAATATCCTTAACCAATCCCATTAAAATACTACCTCTGTCCCAAAATTATTGTCCAGTTTGAGATTTCATTTTTAGTACAATTTGAACTAAAAATGAAAACCCAAACTGGACAATAATTATGGGACGGAGGGAGTAATATTTATCAATAATACTCGCCCTGTCCTAAAATTATTGTCCAGTTTGAGATTTCACTTTTAGTACAATTTGAACTAAAAATGAAAACTCAAACTGGATAATAATTATGGGACGGAGGGAGTATTATTTTTTTAGAGTATGTTCGGAAATTTTTAACAAAAAATGCATTGGAATCCGAAAATGACACTTATTTTAAAATTTTTTTATTTTGGTAAAATGATAGTACTTATTTTGGAACGGATGGAGTACCAAAAAGAGAAATACAAAATCTTTTCAGGCGACGGGACCAGGAGGGGTTCTACAGATTATTTGATCCTCAGTAAATTTGTTTTAACACCAGGTTCTAGATTTTTGTCTATTTCATTTTCATCAGCGGGAAAAAAAAAGGAAATACTGAAAAGTCAAACGTTATATTTTGAAGATAAGAAATGCAAAAAAAATCAGAGTAAACCAGATAAAGAAGTGCATTTTTGTTTTTTGTTGATCGTGTTAAACTTTATTATTCCTCGACATAGCTCATTTCCAAAAAAGAAAAAACAAGA